GAGGTCGACTCATGGGCGTCAACCCAGAGGAGCTGGTGAAAGAAGTGTTGGAGGCCCTTCCTCCAGAAACGGATGCGGTGGCGATGGTCCACAACAAATACTGGACCGAAGAATGGAGGGATCACACCGCTTCCTACACAATCGAAGACCTGGTGGCGGCCAACAGTGCCTACGTGGCCCGGGCTCTTAGCACCAGCATCCAACGTTAGGGCTTGGTGAAGGATCTGAATGCAAAGAGGGAGGACATCGTCAAGCGCCTCGAGGAGGCGATGCAGTACGGGGATGTTGTGAGAGTGGCCTGGGCCAAAGCAACTAAGGAGGAGAAGGGACGGAAGGAGGTCGAGGCCCAGCTGACTGCCGCCAGAGCAGAAGTGGAGAGACTAAAGAAAGAGCTATACTCGGTAGAGTGCCAGATGGCTGCCATGAGTCGGCTAGTGGATCACGCCAACGAGCACCACCAGCTCGCCACGGAGGCTTTGGAGGCCTCAAACAAAGAAAAGACGGAGCAGAGGCAAAAGGTGGAGGCTCAATCTGAGGAGATCGCCCCCTTGAAGGAGGAGTTGAAGTCGACAGGGGAGGTGGCAGTTCAGAATTTCATTGACCACTTCGAAGAAAACCCCCTGTACGACGACTTCGCCAACTTTTGGGCCTCTTGGAGTGCCCAAGGCTTGCTGGGTCGGCTGAAAGAGGTCCACCCCACTTTGGACATCTCCTCTTTGGAGGCAGAGTTCGGGAGACCAACTGGAGGCCGGCCTGATAGGCTTGCCGAAGAAGTTCCGGAGGCCCCGGGGGAGGTCGAGGCAGAAGCGGTACGAGAAAACCCTCCAGTAGAATAGAGCCAACTTTTGTAATGACTTCGACTTTTTTGTATTTCAAATTCAAGGAAATGAAATGAAATTTTTTGTTAAGTATTGGTGCTTCTGCTATCTTATTGTATTGATCTGTTTACCATTGTATGAACATTAAGACTAAGCACCTCTTAACGATAATCAGTTAATAACAGAAGATCGGATCACTCAAGTTAATATGAAGCGGACCACTTAAGTAAACATGAAGTGCCTCTTAACATTAATAAGTTAACAATTTGAGATCGGATCACTTAAGTAAACATATTGAAAGACTGAGGAAACATCTTACTAACCAATGTGGCACAGAACCGAAGTTTCATTACTTTGACAAATTATACCAACTTTACCAAGGCAATTTCAGCACTTAGTAAGCTAGGGAATTTACGACTGATATCAGATCAGAACACCCATTTATTAGACAATATTGAGATCGGATCGGAACAAAGGCTCATCATTGATAGTATTTTCTCAAGTGTTCGATGTTCCACTGATGAGGTAGTGCCTTTCCTACCATGTCTTCAATTTCAAACATGCCAGGTCGGGATTCTCTACGGATGCGGTAAGGGCCATCCCAGTTCGGTCCAAACACTCCGGACCCAGTTGATTTTGAAGATTGGAAGACCCTTCTGAGGACGAGGTCCCCTAAGCGAAGAGTTCTATTTCTGACCTTGAAGTTATAATAGCGGGTCATCTTTCGATGATATTTTGCCAAGTTCACTTGGGAAGCATCCTTTCTTTTTTCAAGGAGGTGGAGTTCACTTATTCAAGCATCGTCGTTGCTGATCTCATTGAAGTGTATTTGATGGTGTGATGGGACCCCGACCTCGATCGGGCTCATGGCCTCGGCTCTGTAGGTCATCGAGAATGGTGTTTCCCCTGTTGCAGTTCGGCTAGATGTTCTGATGGCCTAGAGGACGTGGGGGAGTTCGTCCACCCAAGCCCCTTTTGAGGTGTCAAGCTTCCTTTTCAGGGTGTGCTTGATAGTCTTGTTCACTGCCTCAACTTGTCCATTTGCTTGAGGGTGATGAGGCGTTGAGAAATCCTTCTTTATGCCTAGCTCGTCGCATAATTCTCGTATCTTCTTGTTGTCGAACTGTCTTCCATTGTCGGACACTAAGGAGTGGGGAATGCCAAACCTACAAATGATGTTCTTCCAGACGAATTTAGCAGTGTTCGTCACGGTGATCCTGGCAAGGGGTTCAGCCTCGACCCACTTAGTGAAGTAGTCAATGGCGACAATGGCTAAAGTTGCGCTTCCTCTTCCTTTTGGGAGTGGACCAATGAAGTCAATGCCCCACTTGGCGAATGGCCAAGGGCTGGTTACTACGGAGAGACTCTGAGAAGGCTGCCTTTGAATATTTGAGAAGCGCTGGCACTTGTCACATTTCTGAACAAACTGGTAAGCGTCCCTTTTCAGGGTCAGCCAGAAGTAGCCTCGTCGGAGAACCTTGTGTGCCAGAGCCGTTCCTTTGGAGTGATTTTCGCAGATTCCTTTATGGATTTCCCTGAGTATGTATGTGGCCTCTTTGTCTCCCACGCATCGGAGAAGTGGCAAGGTGAAGCCTTTCTTGTAAAGAGTATCTTCTTACAGGACGAAGTGTGCATCCCTTCTTCTTAACTTCCGCGCCTCGCTTTTAGAAGTAAGCAGTGATTGATCCTTCAGATAGGCGATGATAGGATGCATCCATAATGGGGTGCCTTCTATCCATAGTACCTCTTCACCTCCGTAAGTGGAGGGCTTTGATAGGTGCTCAATAGGGACAACCTTTAGCAGCTCTGAATCCTTGCTGCTGGCCAATTTTGAAAGGGCGTCTGCGTGTGTATTTTCTAGGCGGGGGACTTGAATCAGTTCGAACCTTTCAAAATGAGGAACTAAGTCCAGAACCAACTTCGAGTATGCAACCATACTACTGTCCTTGGCCGCGAAGCTCCCATTGACCTGATTTACTATAAGTTGAAAATCACTGCTTGCCAGGAGCCTTCTGACCTGCATCTCTTTAGCAAGTCTAAGACCTGCCAGAAGGGCCTCGTATTCAGCAGCGTTGTTCGAGGCTTTGAAGTCGAACCTTACTACGCAGTTTAGCTTGTGGCCTTCCGGGATTTTCAAGACGATCCCTACCCCGGAGCCAGTCTCTCCTGAGGACCCATCTACGAACAGTTTTCATGTGGGGGGCTCGGCTGGTTCCATTGTTGCCTCCATTTTTGGGGCTTTGGCAAACTCAACCATAAAATCTGCAAGGGCCTGACCCTTGATAGCGTGTCGAGATCACTGAGCTTGATTGCCCATTTTAGTAGGCGTCTTGATGCGTCTGTTTTTTGCATCACCTGCTTCAATGGGAAGTTGGTGAGAACTTCGATGGAGTGGGCCTGGAAGTATGGCCTCAGTTTTCTTTAGGCTGTGATAAGGGCGAGTGCTAGTTTCTCCATGTCTGGGTAGCGTGTTTCAGCTGGGAGAAGTGCTTTGCCGACGTAGTACACTAGCAGTTGACGCTGACTTTCTTCTCTGACTAGGACGGCGTTGATCGCCACATCCGAAACCGCTAAGTATAGCAGTAGTGATTCATGTGGTTGAGGTTTCGACAGGAGGGGTGCCTCTCCGAGGTGCCGAGAAGGCTTCCTCACATTCAGAGGTCTATTGGAACTTCTTTCCTTGCTTAAACACATTGAAGAAAGGCAAACTTTTATCTGTGGCTCTGGAGATAAAGCGACTGAGTGTTGCTATTCGACTATTGAGGCTTTGGACCTCCTTTGGTTTCTGGGGTGACCTCATATCTAGCAAGGCCATTATTTTCACTGGATTTGCTTCAATTCCCCTTTGATTGACAATATATCCCAAGAACCGACCCAAAGCCACTCCAAAGGTGCATTTGAGGGGATCCAACTTCATCTTATATTTTCAAGTATTCGAAAAGTTTGGTCGAGGTGACTTATGTGTTCGGCTGCCTGGAGGCTTTTGATAAACATGTTGTCCATGTAGACCTCCATAGTTTTGTCAATGAGTTCGGCAAACATCATGTTGACCAGCCTCTGATATGTAGCTCTGGCATTCTTCAATCCGAAGGGCATGACTTTGTATCAGTACAAACCTCTGTTCGTAATAAACGACGTAGCTTCCTCATCAGGTCGGAACATGGGTATCTGGTTGTACCCTGAGTATGCATCCATGAAGCTCAGCATTTTGTGTCCAGCAGTGGAATACACAAGTTGGTCTATCATTGGAAGTGGGAAGCTATCTTTAGCGCATGCCTTATTCAAGTTTGTGAAGTCTACGCACACCCTCCACTTTTCGTTGGGCTTTTTCACCAAGACCGGGTTGGATATCCACTTTCGGTAGATGGCTTCTCTTATGAATCCACTGCGGCTAAGACCTCGTCTTTCAGTGCCTCGTACCTCTCCGGATTGAGGGCACGTCTCTTCTGTCGATGGGGGGCACAAGAGAGGGGTTGATGTTAAGATGGTGGCAACCGATCCTTGGATCTATTCCCACCATGTCTTCATGCTTCCAATCGAAGACATCCAAGTTCCTTTTCAGGAAACTTATCATATCTTGTTTTGCTTCGGGGGACAGCGCCTTCCCTATACGCAAGACCTGACTGGGTCTTCTGGGTTGGCGGAGAAAGTTTTCAGCTCTTCTATTGGGGTTGCATTTGGTTCAGGGTTAATTATTTGGGGATCTAACTCATCAAGAGAGTGCCTTTGTTCAGGGGCCTTTTCTACGTCGACGTCTTCCTCTTGTTCAGAGGTATGCCCTTGTTCAGGGACGTCCAGCATTTCCACGTCTATGTTGATTTCAGTGGGAACCTCAGTTAGGATTACATTAACAGTTCGAGGCTCCAACTTTCGCAGCGAGTTTAAGTAGCATGTCCTGAAACCCATCTGATCGCCTCGGACTGTTGCAATCCCATGTTCAGTTGGGAATTTCATACACAAGTAGTGGATGTATGTGACGGCCCAAAGATCTTTCAAAGCGGGTCTACCCAATACTCCATGATAGGCTGATTTGTGGTCTACCATTAAGAATTTCATGAAGTGTTGGGCCACTAGGGGTGCCGAACCCATCTCGACGGGCAGAGTGATCCGCCCTCGTGGGACGATGCTATCCCCAGTAAATCCGAATAGTGGGTCGGTCACGGGGATCAACCCATGTTCAATCTACATTTTGTTAAAGGTCGAGCCGAACAATATGTTCACCGAATTGCCATTGTCGACGAGCATACGTTTGGGCCCGTTTCTGGCTACTACGGCTCTCACAACCAGTGTGTCGCAATGGGGATGGTGAACTCCTTGCGCATCTTCCTGGGAGAAGGTAATTGGGGCCATCCTGTTGGTCTCTTGGGACTCGTTGATAATGTAAGTGATCATTGGTGGGTCCTTTGCTTCCATTGTATAATTCCTTTGGGCATTCCTGGTGTTGCCACCGATGTGGGGTCCCCCAATGATGGTTTCGATTTCCCTGATGATTTGGCCCCCAGAAAATGGGGCCTGATCTCTCTGCCTGAACTCTCCTTGGTCCCTTGATTCTCTTCTCCGGGGTGACTGCTCTCTGTGCCTTCGATCTCCACTGTTCGGGGAGACAGATCTGCGAGAATATTCATTCTTCCTGGAGGGGTGTGGGTCAGTCCGGTCTGGGCGTCGAAGAGCGTCTCTGCATTTGTTGGTGTCATGCCCATAGAGTTGATGGAAAGTGCAAAACCTTACTCCTTCCAAGGGCCTGTTTGATCGCTTCTTCTTCTTTTTCTTGCTATCGTTTCTTCCAGATGGCCCCACTTCGCCAGGAGCATTTTCATATGCCAATACCGGCACTGCATTTAGTGTAGCAGAAGCCAGTGCCTGTCCGGAGGTGGGAGCTATTGCGTGTCCTGCTTGAGTCCATTGCTAAGTAACAAGATGTGCTGCGGGTCCTCGACCTACCTACCTCTGAGGCGGAGGGAGTCCCTGCGCAGCACGGTTTCGGTGATCAATCATTTCTTCACTCATGATTTCAACTCTCATCATTTCCACGTGTTCGTCATAGGTGAAAGGATTCTTGCTACGCACGTCCCTCAAGAACAAAGTGTTCATGTTAAGGCCGCCTTTCAAGGTTGAAAGGGCTTCTCTGTCAGTGAGATGTTCGCAGTATGTGATTTCATCTGTAAACTTGGCGAGATAGCTTTTCAGCATCTCTCCAGGGGCTTGCCTCATGTCATGCAGGCGTTGCATTGGGGCCTCTCATTCTCTTCGCGAGACGTACTGATTCAAAAATGCTTTCTTCAAATATGGCCAACTTCTAATGCTTAGGGGAGGAAGCCTGCTGTACCACACTTCAGCGACTCCGCCTAGTGTTAAATGGAAGACTCTGCATTTCAAAGCAGACAAGGCTCCCCTGAGACTCATTTGTGTCATATACTTGGTGAGGTGCTTCTCTAGGTCCCCCTTTCCTTCATACTTGGGAATCTTAGGGGGTATGAAATTTGTTGGCATAGGGAAGTTTCGGATCTCCCTTAAGAAATGGAGGTTATCATCGTCATCGTCAATCTCATAAGACCGACAGGGCCCATCTGACCCTTCATCATCTTGAATGTTCTAGGGAGGTAGATGTGCTTCTTCTCGACTCTCCCAATCGACTAGGTTTCTCATGTCCCTCCTATTTCTAGGAGGAGGAGGAGCCCGTTCTTGTTCCTGATCTGGCTGAACTGATCTTCTCACTGGACGGACCCTATTGCTAGGATCCTCACCTATCCGGTCGAAGATGCTTACCGACTTCTCTTCCTCATATTCTTGATGGAAATTGTCCCCCAAGTGTAGTTCTGATGGCTGGTTCCCTTGCACAAAAGATGTGGCTTCGGCACCCACTTCTCTTTCGAGGGGGCGTTCTCTGTGCCAACTGGTGTGGCCTCGAGAACGAGATACTGGGGCTTCCTACACTGGGTAAGATCCTTGGGGCAATTGAGAGGCCCGGCGACTTTGGGCTTGCATGAGAAGTTCATGCATCGCCATATTCTGAGTTGCGATGTCTCTCATGCCCCCAGCTATTAGAGTCATTCTTTCAGTGAGCATGGCTGTTCTTTCACCTCGGCGACGCCGATGATGGGGTCTCTGGTGAGTAACATTGTTATGGAGCACCTCCTCTTCAGAGGCCTCCCTCATGGGGTTGTCGTCTTTCTTCATGGCTATAACTCATCCTATCCCCTTTTTCAAGGGTGGTGAGAACTTGGATTATAACTCGACTTTGTTCTTTTTCAAGAACATGCCCTTTTTAGGGTTAGTCGCCAGTTTTCCGGTGATTTCTCCGATGGAGAATGCAGAACTTTGAATGGGAAGTGTTTCCCACAGATGGCGCCAATCTGTTGACCTCGAAAATTGGACTTTCTATGTGGTCAACCGAGAACTACTCCACGTATTCCTCCCTGCGCACAAAAAACACACGGTCAGACGTACACGGTCAGGACCAGTGAGGGTGGCCGCGGCCATATACACTCCGACGATCAAGTCAGATTCAGGTGGTCGGAACAGTACCCAGGGGTTGTGTCAAATAATTAAGGGGGAGGAGAAAATATATATATGCTTGCTATGGAGTGCTATGGAGTAAGAGTTTTATTACCTTTTCCTCTTGCCAACCCTTGGGAATTTATAGGTGGGATGAACCGTTGGATGTGGGGTACGTGTATACATCTGACGGTATAAGGTGTCTGCTCATAGGCGTCAATCAGCCGCGTCAGTAGAGTGGGCAGGTAATTGCTTCTCCCGAGTTGAATTGACAGAAAATTGATAAGTCACATCAACTAGCCTCATGGAGACGTCAAATCAATTTAAACCTTAGGGGCAGAAATGATCTTGGCAAAGATCTCCTTCTGAAATTGGCGGTGGATATTCTGACAGAGGTCCCTGAAGTGCACTTCGCCTCGACTTCAGGGGCAAGGGCGCTTCGATCAGTTCAGAAGGATCGCCTATGTCTCGCAGTGTGATAGTAGGTCGTTGATATGGGGGAGATCTAAACCACCTCGGAATGTCTACCACTACACACTCTGATCTGCTAGACACCCACCCGAAGTGGTTCCGAAGTGATCTCCCCCATATCAACGACCTGCTATCACACTGCGAGACATAGGCGTTTCTACCGAAGCGTCCTCGCCCCTGAGGCCGAGGCGAAGTGCACTTCGGGGACCTTTGTCAGAAGATCTACCGCCAATTTCAGAAGGAGATCTTTGCCAAGATCCTTTCTACCCCAAGGTTTAAATTGATTTGACATCTCCATGAAGTTAGTTGATGTGACTTATCAACTTTATGTCAATTCAACTCGGGAGAAGTAATTACCCGCCCACTCTACTGACGCGGCTGATTGACGCCTATGAGCAGACGCCGTATACCGTCAAATGCATACACGTGCCCCACATCCAATGGTTTATCCCACCTATAAATATCCAAGGGTTGACAAGAGACAAAGGTAATAAAACTCTTACTACATAGCACTCCATAGCAAGCATCTATATATATATTTTCTCCTCCCCCTTAATTATTTGGCACAACCCCTGTGTACTGTTCCGACTACCTGAACTTGACTTGACCGTCGGAGTGTATACGGCCGCTGCCACCTCGCTGGCCCCGGCCGTACACGGCTGACCGTGCGTTGATTGTGCGTAGAGAGGAATACGTGGAGTAGCTCTCGATTGGCCACATAGAAGGTCCAATTTTCCAGGTCAATACTATGTATTTGCTTTATTTTAACAAGTCACAGAACAAATAATGCAGGGTTTATTGCAATAGTTTTTATTTGAAATTGAATAATTCTACTCATTATTTTTAATCTAACCTTCGATATTTTTATTGAAGAAACAAATATTGTTTATCACGTGCTTGCGTTTTTCTACCTTCACTATATCATATTTGCTTGTTAATCTCGTTAACCTTAAAAAAAGAACCTTAAAATTATACAAATTAACGTAATATATTAATGGGTAGGAAAATTTAAATATATTTGATATTTTATTAAACTAAAAAACATTACCATCAAATTAAATTTTTTATAAAATACCGATTTATTAACCTTCCGAAAAGGCAAATTAATCAAGAATATCTTCGCCCTCCAAGAAATGCATTTGGGTTTTAAGAAGTACTCGAAAAAACAGAGAGTACAAAACACTCTACAAGAGTAAGACTAAATGTGCGTTTGATAGTTAATATTTTTCATGAAAAATGTATTTTTTTTTACCCAAATTACTACTTTTGTGCTGTTTAATTGACATTTTTTTCCATGAAAAATATTTTCCTATTTTTTGATCACATGATCATATTTTTTTCAAAATTAAAGAAAAAAATTTCTTTATGGAGAGTAGGATTTTATTTTTCAAGGAATTCACTCTTTCTTTCTCTCTCTCATCTATCCACTTTTTTATCTAAATGGATAAGTGTAATATTTTCAAGTTTGAAAATTAAATCAATCGAACACATTTAATTGTCAATTTTTATGCAAATAAATTCTAAAAAATTGAACTGCTTAGAATTTATTCTTATACAAATTTCATACTTGCAATCAAACACACCCTAAATGATTTTATATCTGGTGGAAAATAAAATTAAATTTTTAGTTCATAATAATAGGAGTTTTTGAAATGTGTAGTTAAAAAATTATGAGACCCATGAAAAATATGGTTAATATTGATTGTTTAACTTTGACTTAAATTAAAATTAAATTTTAATTCAAACCAAACACGCTCTAAGTTTTAACCATTCTTTATTTCTTCAAACCTACTCTTTCTGCCCAACATGAACTAGTTCTTCTAGAAAGTTTACTATAGCATGAAATAGGTCAATCATCCACTTACAAAAGGAGTAATATTATTCCTCCATTGATCAAGAATTTCAATTTTCGTAAAGTATCTTGACCATCCAATAAGAAGGGTTTTCGTTTTTTTATATATAAAACAACTATGGAGAAGTATTGATTCCAACAATTGAAAATTTGGACCTTTCAATTCACATATATCTCAAACCTATTAATGGGAATAAATTCATTAAGATGAACCACATAGCCAAATGATCAACAATTACACAATACCTAGAGTTTGCATTTACATTTTCATACAACCAGAATCACATGATAGCAGAAAATGAGTAGACGTGCTTTTACTTGCAGAAGAACCTTTCCCATAATTTCAAGGTTCTTTAAACAATTACACAAACCACATGTCCTTCCACAACATTCTCAAAAACATAGTTCTCATATCTCTCCAGTATACATTACCTATTTGTAGACATCCCATCACTCTAAAAACTCGTCTTCTGTCTCGGGTTTTGCAACTGCTGAGGGGTAAAACCCAGTCGTTGCTGATACCTCGTCTTCGGTTAAAGTGAAATTTATCTTACATTCTATTAATTAGCAGTAATTTCGAGCTTCTAATTTATGCCAAAAATTACAAGATCAGTTAGGTCGAGTGGTTAGAATTACAGATTTGCAGATCAACGAGCAGCCACAGCATCGGTCCTGGGGCTCGTATCCAGAAGTTGGTGAAGCTTTGCTCTGGGACTTTTTTTCTCACACGTGTCATTTTCGTCGTCCTTGTTTTCGACAAAACCCGAGTTGTTAACTCTTGCCAATAGGTTTATTGTGCCAATCGGTTTCATCCTCAAGTCATCAATTTCGTATTGACTCGTCTCATCTGATTGTCCGAGTTGTGCACTTCTCAGTTTCTCCTGCGAATGTTACTCATCTTTTAAGCTTATATATATTGCTAATGATAGAAAGAGAGTAAACAGAAACCCATCAACAAGGTCGTACCATTAATGTAGCATTTTCAAGCTTCAGTTTCTTTGAACTCTCCATCAATTTATCTATCTCAAACTTAAGAGTCATTTTCTCGGAAGTTAGAGCATTTACTCTCATAGCCAGTTCTTCAGTCTCAGCCTGGACGAGAAGTCAAATGGAAAAGGGGGGGGGACTATTAACGAAAAAGCTTAAAGATATGTTGACACAAAAATAATTTTTAAGTGACAGATTTGAAGATGCAATAAAAGCATATGGTCCAAGAAACAGTCAATGATTTATGACATATGCTCGTGTCATATTCATACCTGTTTCCTCAGTCGAGATCTTCTTGCAGAGTCCCGATTAGACTGTTTCCTCCTTTCCCGTTTCAGCTCTCGATCATTCTGTAGTACATTTAAAACGCACATCAGGAATACTATATTATCATGGCACAAATAATTCACGGATATTGTTTGTGGAAGCCACATCTAGTCCTCTCAAGCTTCTAATTTTCTTCATGGATATTACCAGTGTTCTTAAAGTTAAATGAAAGGGGAAATATGTTTAATATGTACCTGCACACAGGCTTCATTCAGCATTGGTGGACAAGATTGTGGAACACTAGTTGGACTGGACTTCACATTTGTGTTATAAGTATATTTCAGCTCCAATGCTGTAGTAACGTTTCCTATCAATTGTTTAGATGTATTAACGGCAGGCACAATCATGTCCATGGTTTTCTCGGAACATTGAACTTCTGTGCTGGGAATCATACTGTTTTGTGTCTCAATCTTTCCATCTTCTGCTTTCAGAATATTAAAGCATCAGAAACTAAGCTTCCTAACTATTCAGATTAAACTTGTTAATAAGTTGCGGAAAATGAAGTGTGGCATATTCTGTTATTAGAAAAAAAGCCCTATCCATAATGCTTGCATCATAGCCAAATGATTTGTTTCCACAGAAGAAAACTTAACCAAGGACTAAACACGAAAGCAATACCAGATGTAAATAAGACTAAGAGCATGATCATTATTTATTTTAGAATTAACTCTTACCTTAATGTAAAAATATAACTTGCTTAACTTTGACCAATAAAAAAATAGTTTATTTTTGGAACTTAATTATTTACTTATAAGCAAGCTTAGCTAAACATGCAAGTAGTGCCAAGGAAAACCTCAAGTGCCCATCAAAAACTACTACGTAATACACACACAAGCAGGAAATCACATATTTTGCAAGTTAGTCGTGTTCTGCCGACAGTTGTTCACAATAGCCATGCAATTTTTGAAAATAATTTCTATATTTCAATATGTGCAGGATACAGACATCAATGCATGATGAAAAAGGAAAAGAGAAGTCTACCAAGATGCGGCGGTTAGTGGAATAATATTTCCAGTAAGGACAATTTTACTTAGAAAAGAAAGCTTACTGTTGTTAGGACTTCCATCCCGGCTTCTTTTCTTTCCATTCTGACCAGCCTAGAAAATGATGGCAAGAATAATGAGATGATACATACCAAACTGACAAACCAAATTAAATTAATATTCTTGACAAATGTCAACTCTATATAATAAAAAATCCTTACCCCAGTTGTAATTCCATTGCTCTCGTCACTAGAACCTTCAGTCTCCTCACTGTTCAGGAAGCATGAGATGTTTAACACTCAGTTTGGAATTATATAAACAAGCACAAACACTAAGCAATTTATATTTTCTAGTTAGTTAAGAAGCCCGGGGAGCATGTTCAGCTAAGCTTAAATGTTCCTACGAGTAAATTCTTTTACACAAAAAATTTTGAGGTTGTTTATAAGTTACTTCGGCTTACAAATTTTCAGTACAAAATCTTGTTTTGACAGTAAAAACATGTTCAGCTAAGCCTAAAAAGTCAAAGTATGTAAAATTAACTTTAAAGCTTCACCAAAAACACGTGTAAGATTATATGTTACATTTAAGTACAAGCAACACAGCTGTCATTATATGTAAACAAACCTCTGTGAAACTCTCTGATCAACTTGACCTTCAGCACTTTCAGTGTGGCAATTGCCAATTAAGAATGCAGGCCCATCAAATTCTTTCAATTTTTGCACCGTGCCTCCATCCGTATTAGCCGAAGACTTGGCCTGTGTGTCTGTGCTGAAAGATGCACCAGCCTACATGACCGCACAGTCATTATATTACATCCAGTTCCAAACAATTATACTACTTCTATGAAGTTTAAAGTTAATCTACCCCTACGAATACAGCTCTTATTAGTAAAGTACGCACATTTGGAAAAAGAATCAAAGCATCAAAAGGTTGCTACAACTAAACTCTTAACTAATTTGGGAGCTATTACAATCGCAAAACACACTGAGCAACCACAGACACGAGTCTACTAGCTGCTGCAGGTTTTCACTATAATAGGGAAGCATCCATTATAATTAAAAGCATGTTTGGGAAATGTTTATAAACTGTTTTATTTACGAAAAGATAGAAATTAGTGCTGGATAGGTGGATAATACTTGTAGGCCCTGTTTCATATGGATAAAAAGTGTTTTGAATGTTTATAAACATGAGTCAAATATAGGCTAAGTTCCACACAATCCAACATATTATTATTCTAGGGTTTTACGGCAAATGCCAAATAGTGGGGGAGCACTCAACACAACTTAGGAATCTTGCATGGGAAATTAAAAAGTAATAGGAAAATAATGATCATTTTAAGAGGTGCTATTTTATAATTGCAATTGCATTTAGACCACATAACTGCCTTGATAGAGGCTCCTTCCAGACAAGGTGATGAAACACAGCCCCTTCACAGATATCAGGATCGTATTTAGTTGCATACTGAAGTCCAAGAAACGTGAAACTTACTAGGGGAACTCCAGGACGTGCATAAATTCCTCCATTAGCATAGAATGCCGCATATGGAGCCCCATAAGGTGGCATCATAGACTGAAACATAAAGAAGTGAATGTTAATATTATTTCAAACAGGCAGTTCCTGCAAATGGCTTCAAATGATGATAATAGAATCAAGGGGAAACTGCATCCCCCCCACCCCCGGGCGACCGCCAAACGAAATATAATTATATAAATAGGGTGTGCGTGCCCGCATGTATACAGTTTTGAGAAAAACCTGTGGTAGTCCCCAGATATACATAGGTTGAGCATGACCACCAGCAACAGCAGAGTTGAAATATGGTGGTACAGCTAATCGGGGACCATAGTATGCCTGAAGATTAAACTATCTAATAATAAGCATGTCTCTGACAATAATGATAAAATGTAATATAATTTAATTTACTCCCAGCTATAACAAAGTGTGTGGATAGAGACAACAACCTGCATTGTTGCCCAATCGGGGTACATGTGAACGTTATTCTGGTCCTGTCAAGGTGAAATGCATTTTACATCTACTCAGAAATGGGCATCAACTGATGTAATAAAGGAAACAGAGGCTGAAGGACAAAGAACATTAAAATGATTTTGCGCTCAAAAGAAGACTAAGATCCCGTAAGATGAAAGAATTCCAGGATACACACTCCAACTTTTCTAAAGGACGCGCATAGGCTACTGAATTGCTGTAACAATTATTCTAGGATTACCATTGCAGGTGAAGATGGTTTCTCCTGCTTAACATACTTCACTTCCTCACTGCTTCCCATGATAGCGTGACAACCTAATCAATCGACGATACAAGAAAATCCTTTTGATCAATCTGCAAGATGGAAAAACCACTAAAAAACATTTTCAAAAGGTATAAAAGCATCTTTGTGACCAATAGCTCAAGATTAATATTGCAAAAATGAGGAAAGACTGTCCTTCGGAATCCCAGTATAGAACTAATAGATTTAACAATAGCAGAATAGAAAGGCAGCATATATGTCCTCTTTGAATGTAGTTAAGTTTCTTGACCCTATAAGACCAAAAACGTGAAACTTCACTTCATCTCAGCTATACCAGGCAGATACACTTACGGCATGTTTGGTAGAGGGAATTGACAGCACTCAACAATACTTCAATGGAAAAAGAAGCTAAAAATCTTGCTCTTATAGTATATAGTCGTGTCCATTACTTAATATCCAACTCGCACTTAAGACACCTATAATTATCATGTCATGTTCCTTACTTCCTACCTCTTTTTCGTTTATTTTTTTCCAAGGTTTTCCACTTGTTATCAATTAAAATGAAAGCATTCTTTGTACAAAAGCCAAATTTGGATTTTGAGGAGGAAAATTTCCCGTACATGTATCGATATACGATTTTTATGATATTAAACTTTTAATTGCTATATCTAGGATTTTCTTGATCAAAGAGAAAAACAGTCATTGGGATTTTTTTCATAATGATATAAACGAATTCAATTCCAGATGCAATCAACTGGGCATGGGTCTCAAAATTTGTCAATTTGATGCCCGAACTCTTAAAAAGAAATCGAGGATGTTCATCCAGCCTAAATAAATTTCTAGACTCGCGTATTTATCAATAACAAATTTGTTAGGATTAAGAGAAATAAATTGCGGACAACCTTTCCCGACCAAACACGTTAGATCCAATTAATAAATGACTGTATTTCATCTAAATGGATGCTACCCATTACGATAGTTACCCTGATTAAAACTAATAATTCTTAGGTCTACAAATACACGTATAATATTAACAGAGCATAAGCTGAGGGCAGTATCGTCCTTTCATTTTTGAACCCAACACTGATACTTTGACATAAGATCTTAGTAACTGTTAACTCATCCAAAACAACCAAGAATGTAATGACAAAATTATCCTCGTCACCTACCTAAAATTCCAAGACAATAACCAAAAAGAATGTTAAACTTATGTTGCTAACTGTTCTTTAAGCTTTCTGAGCTTAATCTTAAAATTTTGCTCTAATCCAACTGCTTCTAATCAAAACTCTTCATATTCAAAAAAAGAAATAGAAAAAGAGAAATCAAAATAAATATAACAACTTAATTTCACAAAATAAAGAAAATTCACAATGATCAGCAGGAAACACCACCCAAATTCACGCAATTCAAACCTTACTACGAAAGTTTTCCACTTCAATTCACCGAGAGTTACTAAAATCCATAACTAATACTTAAAATTAAACATACCTGAAAGTCTCCAACCAAAAGGACTCCAAAACTCCCTAGTTTCTGAATTTCCAAACTTCTAAACTCCTTGCATTTCTTTCTCTCTCTAGAAAAACGAAAACACACACACAGAGCAAAAGAGAATTTTTTTTCTCTTCGATATTCTAGAGAGAGGAGAAGGAAGAAAGAAGAGCGCCAAGGCAAATATACACACGTCACCCAACACGTGTCCTCCGTATAAAAAAAGGCGTATATACAGTTGTATGTATATAGTATATACGATCAGACAAAGCGGGGTTGCGGGGTGGCATAGGTGAGCTGGCGCATTGAATTCGTGCTGGCGGAAATTTTTTAATAACGTCGTCGTGTACCGTACACGTGTCCCTTATCTACTCGCTCTCTGCGGGGGATCAAATAGGCCAACTAATACCAAAGTCGTGGCTGGCGTGGTCAGTTTAGGAAATAGTTTATTGTTTTCTTGGGAAAGATTAAATGGAAATTAATTTTGCATTTCAAGTCCGGAATGGGCCCACATGCTCTTAAGAGATTTTAAAAAATGCTTTTGAAATTTGAGGTATGAACAGGCACATTCAAGGGGAAAAAAAAAAAAAAGGTACTGAATATATTTATAATTGGCTTGCTGAGTAATAATGAATTTGAAACATATTTTGTTGTAGTCCGACTGCCCACCTCATTAAAATAAATATTTTTAGATTACTATGTCTACTCTAAACCTTCAAGTTGGACATACTAGCCGCAAGATCAAATCTTACAAGCGATCGCTATAATTTACAGAGACGTAATAACACATAATCATCGTCACACCTTTTCATCAATCACTCCCTAAATGACACTTGGCATCTTTGACGACAACACCTCATTTTCAACCAGTTACCAACAAACGATGATTACTATCCTGATATTATACCAGGAGTCTATATTTAATGATGACCTGACAAGATCGACTTCATCAGTCAATAAAAGCAATGAATTTTAGATAAGTGGCACGCAGTTTCAGAACGACAATGTGGCTGAAATGACGTGAAGCGACCAAGTGATGTGGTTTTCCATCCTATACATAAAGACCAGTGGTTCCCTCCCAAGATAAAGTTAAGACTCCTTTAAAAGCGACAATACTATTTCCTTTTGCATCAATTGATGTGTACTTTGTTCTAATTTCATTGCCAATAAACATACATCTATTCTCTAGAGTTGATGTAAAAGTCACATTTCATTTTTACCTATCAACATATTTAAATGAACATAAGCTAGTATGGCATTTCTTCAAAAAATCGTCAATCTATCAGCGAGGTTGAATAGAATCATATATGGTGATGATGAGCTAGAGACGTTTATTTGAGTGCTGTATATTGGTGCGCCTCATTTGGTGATTATAAGTTTTATAGATTGAAAAGTATTACTTTGCAAAATTATATTGAAATTTGAAGGTTTTTAGTTGATTAGAATTGAGACAAGATTAGCTCAAGTGTTTATTAAGTGGCAATTTGGTTAAGATGACGTTGAAGTTATTTTTATTTTTTAATTTTTTTTGAAGGGCATTGAATTACTATGAAGGGTGATTTTAAAGGATAGTTGTTTGATTTAATTTTTAGGTAAGGATGGTAGCGGGAGATTAATGATATGAAGAAGAAGATTTAGTACGTATGGTAACGGGAATTAGATGACATGAAGAAGATTTATTACTACTGGTAATGGAAGTTGATGGGTGGAGGCAAGACGGTCATTATCATTCTCATCTTGTTGGAGATTTTTTAGAGTCGGGATGAAGAGACAAGATTAAGAAATTCTCAATAACATTCTCGTTTAATAAATTTTTTTTTATTTTATTATTATAGCTTAAATTGAAGAGGGGGGAAGAGAGAGATCAATACATGTTTGAGGAATTCGGAACAAAGATTATATTTCTTACCGAGCAATAAATTTTGTCATCTCTAAGATTTACTGCTTTATTGTGATATGAAGTAGGTACTATAGAATTACATGTAGAATGTGAAAGTCTGCTAAAAGCATAGTTCCACGAAGAGTTACAAGACATATTAGACGTATTTTGGTACTAATAGCAACAAATAATATTATTGAGACACTAGACGTCGTGATATTAAGGTGCTCTACATAAACATAAGGAATTACTTATCCATAATAGATAAGTAATCTTAGTGTGAAGAAATAAAATGAAAAGTAAATTAAAATTAACACGAGGAGTCTCATTGCAGATATAGAATTATATTTTTATACAAGTATATAAACGAAATGAAATTTATGTGATAGGAGGTGAGTTGTTATTTGTTGTGCATTTAATGTGTAAATTTTTGTCGCAAGTGATGTTATTTAATATCATTGATGTTATAATGATAGCACGAAGTATCATTAAACATAAAGTAAAATTGCATAAATTATATAATTTTGCCTTTAAATGAATCACATAGTGTCATATAGAGCATCGTTGATTCTTGATAACGTTATCCTTTTCTCTCATGTGACAAAGAGCGTGAAATACATTTCTGTGTTTTCCAATGCTATCTACATCAGTCAAACCCCTGAATTGGAGATACCAATCCAATGCTTCGCAGTCAATCACGTCAATGGTGGAAGAGAGAGTATATTTTCCATCTTCCACAATAGTTTCTAGAAAAAATTGCAACAGCGGTCCCTAATCTTTTACTTTTTTACAGATTTTACCCTAATTTTCAATATGTGCCATCCACAATCTCAAATTTTTCAAATCTATGCACCTGAGGTCCAAAATGGAAACCGTTCAGTTGACCGTTAGTCAAACGAGGAAGGTGGACTTTAACTGATTTTGATCAAATTGAAATGTGTAAAATGGTAAATTTGCTATTATATATAAAAAATAGTTTAAAAACCAAAAATAAAATAAAAGAGAAAAGAAGTAAAAATAAAAAATCACCTCTTCCACATCTCACCCACCTTCCAATCCACCTACCCCAAACTAAACCTGCTACTTTCGACCATCGCTGGGCACCATCACACGGTGACTTTAGCAGTTGTGTCGACGCCAGCTCTAGAGACCAAGAAATGCGATCGAGAGGCAAAATGAAGGAGATGAGGAGGTGAAACCGGAACAGTTCTTCTTTTTACCATTCTCTAGCGATGGATCCACCGAGGAATCGGAGCGTAGAAACTTAAACTAGTGAATTTTCATTCTCCTTCTGCCAAATTTTGAACTCCGCTCCCCAGGTGCAGACATTCCTGTCTCACCAATATTCACCTCACAGCACATACCCGCCATTAAATATCAGTCTTGTAAAAGTATGTTGAGTTGTAAAGCAAAGAAAATAATTTTTGGCGATTGGTGTTGGTTTGATTGCGGTGGTGGCCGTTTATGGGCAAAATTGTGGATTTGGGTGGAATGATGGGGGCGATGGTAGGGGGCGACAGTTGCTGTGAGCAATATTGGTTAGTTGTCGTTGAAGATGCAGTAGCAGTGTCGACAGTGTACCGGACCGTTTGACTGTTGGTTGGAAAGAGAAACCCTTTTCATTTTTTATTTTTTTCTAATTTTTTGTTTACTTATTTAATGTGGTAAAATTACCATTTTACCCATTTCAATTTGGTAAAAAAATCAGCCAAAGCTCACATTCTTTGGTCAACTAACGGTCAACTGGATGATTTACATCCATTTAAACATCAAGTGCATATTTTTTTAAAGATTTGGGAGACTGTGGATAGTACAAATTGAAGATTAGAATAAAGACTACAAAAAGTGAAAGGTTAAGGATCGCTACTACAATTTTCCCTAATTTCTATCACCTTTCTATTCGGTGCTTGAACTTTCCATTGTTTTTTAAATATGTCCCTAAACCTATATGCTGGAAACTATAGAAATAAGAATGAACAGACTCGAAAAATTCGAACATCGAGATAGGTTTTCTATTAATTTGCTGGAAGCATTGGAGAGAGAAGTCGATGTAGAAGAGATAGATAACTTTGTCCATGCATGCCAAAAAACTTACAAATTTGTTTATCAACAAATGATGTGACGAAATTTAATTAGATCAAAATCTTATCAATCAAATAAAAAATTTCTCCCATTTTTTTGATACATAGTCAATTTGTAAAAAAACTGTGAGAAGGGCATAATAAGTCATTTTTTTTTGCAAAAAAAAAGGTTAGTTTTCTAAGTTTGCGTTGGATTTGGTGACATATTTAAAATAATTAAAAGTTCGTGAAGCTAAATAAACATAAACATAAAGTTACGGGTTCCTTTTGGAATTCCAAAAGAATGAATGTCTGACGTGTCCCACTTATGACGGTTCAATGCAGGTGGGTCCAGAAAATATTGCAAGCTTCTCAGTCAAATCTTTAGTGACCTGTTGTCCACGTCTCATAACGCCTTTCAATTTTATTTAATTTTGGTGGGGCTAAGCCCTTTTTCAAGTTAAAAAATCAAATTTTTTATATAGTTATTTAACATATTCAGTCGTTATTTTTGACTTCTTCACGCATAAATAAGACACATTTGTTTCTTTAACGATAAAAAATTTGACTTTAAAAATCAACACCAAACAGGACCTAAATAGAATTACTCTTCGAAATAACATGTCTGACTGACGTGGCGGATAAGTGATAACTGACAATCTCACGTGACTTGTAGGAACGTTATTTTACTCAATCAAGTCCTTGTTTCAACTTCATTTTAATGAATTTAAAAAAATAAAAATTTGAACACAGTCAATTTTTTGAAAGTTGTATGATTAAAAATTAAGAGAAATTTTTAGACTTACATATAAAATTATTTTATTAAAAAATGTTGACTAATAATAAAAAACAGAAAAATACTTTAAATTAAAATGGAGCTCAAACATGGGCTAAGTTAAATTTTGGTTTCAAATACCTTCAAGGAAAAAAAATATAGAGGTAAGTTATATGTCGAAAGGATTTATTATGACGTTATAACTCTTTTTTTAATTTTTGTTAAAGAAAAATCAATTTTATACGGAGTAATTTACTTTTTGAAAGGTAAATTTAAATTAACGAAAAGATCGAATGTAATTGTCCACATTTATATAGCACCCGTTTGGTTTAGTTAAATATCAATTTTTTAATAAATTTTGATAAAAGTTAATAAAACACGTAATTGAAAATTTGATAAAATTATGGATTCCGTTTGATTAAAAATGAGATTTAGAAAATGGAGACGAAACATGATTTATTCTTTTTGTGTGATAAATTATTTACAGTGAA